CTCATTTTATTCAATTAGTGACGCTTTAAAAATGGATTACTATTTAAAGCTATTTGGAGCATTTCGGCATTTCAATGACAATGACTTAAGTCAGTTTCCTCTACTCCCACAGTGAAAAGCTGACTTGAGGACATCAAGTTTGTGCAAGGACAATGCTGTGGCCATACTGCCAGGATCCAACCAAAGTGAGCAACACTGCAGAGTGTGAACCTCTGTAATTCCAACCGGACATTAAGGAATAGCAACAGGTTTGTGGAGTCCTGTAGCTCAGTGGTTAGAGCACTCGCTTTGCAAGTGAGAGACCTGAGTTCAATTCCAGGCAGAGGGCGAAACCTTGGGCAAGTTTCCTTACTCCACACACCTAATAATAATCCCTCCAAAATCAAAAACAATAATAAATTGGTCATTTTCAATCTACGACTGTTTGTGGGACATTGCTGTGCGCAATTGGCTGCCGCATTCGCCCACAAATATACAGTCAATTCACTTTACAGTGTGTTCTGTGAAGCACTTTGGGACGTCCTCCCGACGTGAAAAGCGCTATATCAAATGCAAGGATTATTATTATTGTTAACATCTATATGGTGTAAAGCATTTTGACATATTTCTTTTATGGCTATATAAGTGTAAACTGATCTCTTGTTTTCTCACTTTTTTCTCATCTGCTTTCCCTCTGGCATTTTGTGTGTCTGTATTTCTCGGTTTCCAGTTTAAATGTGATCACAATTTTAAAAATTGAGGATTTTCTAAGAAAACCTTTCAGATGACCACCCTCCCCACATCAGAAATAATAATAATTAATTATAATTGATTAGAACATCAAGTGGATGTTGTTACATTGACAAAATAAGCAGTTAATCTGTGCCAGCAGTATCCCATAAACATCAATAAGTAGCCAATTAATTTGAATATTTTAGGACTGGGGATTCAAGGGAGAAGAATTTTTTTTATTCCCTTATGGTTTTTTTTGTTGTTGATTGTACTGACACATCAAAAACGGCTTCCTTCAAAAAGCAACTTAACTTTATTGACAGTTGGCAACCCAGTCACCCCCTTTTCTGGTTCCACTCCCTTTTATGGGAGTTTTTTAATTGCAGAAATAACAACTCTCGGTGTGGGAATTCTGGTTTTTACATATTTTTTCCTCTGGACACGATTTGTCTCTATTTGAATATATATTCCCTTTTTTAAAAAAAATTCTCATTGATCAGCTTCATATAAACTCACAAGCCTCGAGGTCTAAAGGGTGACAACAAGTGACACCAACGCATCTTGAGGATGTAGTACAGCAATGCCAATGAAAGGTCCCTCTTCCTCAGTGTACACGAGTCCTGGTCATTTTACTGCCAGTGTTCCCACAACTCAATCGCAGTTTTTCTCAGTAGTCGGTGTTGCACCACAGCTCACAGAGATAACGCGTAGTTAGTTATTCCGACCGTATGCAATGAAGGGTCTCACTAACCACCACTGAGAACAGTAACGACACAACTTGGGAGTACAAAACAAACCCTTTGGTTAACACTGAAGGGGTTCTGTTGAGCGGATCATTGAAGAATGTTATTTAAACTCAAACTGCCCAAGTCTAGTTTAAAGTCTGGTTTTACTGTTACTCACATCTGATTTGAAGTGAACGACTCCAAAGGCATTACGGATACCAAAAAGTATACAGATAGCCCTGGCCATGGTTTCCCAGTCTCCCACTGCAGACCTCTCTCTCTCTCTCTCTCTGTGGCTGTGGAAGGGATCACAGACCACAACTGTCACTGTTTCCAACGTTTACGCATCAGCGAACACCTACACGTGAACTCCTACACCACCCACGTGAAAGAGCTGGTTTGGGAAGGGACAGTGCAGGGAGGGCTGGGATTGACAGCATTTGCAGTTGTTTTCATCTTAATATGGTTTTACTTAACGTATACACAAAACTAGAGCAATGAAATCTAACACGTTCTCAATTATACAAAATATACAGTGGATTCATTTTACAATATATCCTGTGAAGCGCTTTGAGACAGCGACAGGACAAAGCGGAGTCCTGTAGCTCAGTGGTTAGAGCGCTCGCTTTGGAAGCGAGAGACCTGAGTTCAATCCCAGGCAGAGGGCGAAACCTTGGGCAAGTTTCCTTACTCCACACACCTAATAATCCCTCCAAAACGAAAAAAAATAATAAATTGGTCATTTTCAATCTACGACTGTTTGTGGGACATTGCTGTGCGCAATTGGCTGCCGCGTTCGCCCACAAATATACAGTCAATTCACTTTACAGTGTGTTCTGTGAAGCGCTTTGGGACATCCTCCCAACGTAAAAAGCGCTATATCAAATGCAAGGATTATTATTCTTATTATTATTATGTCAAGGCATTGGAGAGGGTGCAGAGATTTACCAGGATGGTACCAGGAATGAGGGACTTCAGTTATCAGGAGAGGCTAGAGAAGGCTAGGATTATTCTCCTTGGAGAAGAAAAGGTTAGAGGAGACTTAATAGAAGTTTTCAAAATTATGAGGGAATTCAATAGTGTGAACAAGGAGAAATTATTTCCACTGGCAAGTGGGTCGGTAACCCGAGGACACCAATTTAAAATAGTTATTAAAAGAAAGAGGGGAGGTGAGGAGAAATTGTTTCACACAAAGAGTTGTTCGGATCTGGAATACATTGCCTGAAAGGGTGGTGGAAGCCGATTCGATAACAACTTTTAAGAGAGTAGATAATTATTTGGGGAGGACAAGTTTGCAGGGCTATGGGGAGAGAATGGGGAAATGGGATTAATTTGGATAGCTCTTTTCAAAGAGCCAGCACACACACGATGGGTGAAATGGCCTCCATTTGTGCTGTACAATTCTATGATTCTATGCAGGTCTTTATAAATGGCTTTCAGAAATAGAGTTGCGATTGGCAGTTGCTTAATTGTCCATTGGAAATGTCTGGCTAAACAACAAACTGGTTGGTTTAATGGTTCGAATTCCCCAGGCCCGAATTTAAATACTGATGATTTATAATCTCAGCACACTCCAGAATGTCCAAGGCCACAGTTTGGAAGACCACAACATTGCAACATCAATTCTCATGGTTGCAACAGGAATTTGAAAAGCTTGACTTTTACATTTCCTGGAGACTATTTCAAAACGGTTTCAAATTGCACCTGACACGGCTTACAATGTGATATGACATTCCCTCCAGCTGTGCCCAGACTGTCTTCTTGACCACTGCCACCTTCAACATTGTTGACAATTTACCCTTCTCCTCTGCCATTTTTCTTAGCTCAACATTCTGTACTTTCCTGGTTTAATTCTTTCCTATCCCAACATCTCTGATTCGCTTTTGTTTGATTCCTGGGCAGTGTGAAACCTTAGGCAAGTTTCCTTACTCCACAGGTCTGTTTAGCTAGCAGTAAGTAGGAACCCAGTTGTTAGTTGATTGGCAGATCGCTTTCCAGGGTAATAATCCCTCCAAAAAACATTTGGTCACTCAATCCACAACTGTTTGTGAGACACTGCTGTGTGCAAATGGCTGCCATGTTCTGTCCACAAAATACACAGCTGATCCATTTTACAATGTATTTTGTGAAGTTCTTTGAGACAGCTCAATGACGTGATAAGGCACTATACCAAATGCAAGGATTGTTATTCTCACCTCAAACATTGACAGCATCAATCTACAAGGATGTACAATAATCTTCATTGCAAGGAGCCTGTGTTGCTTTATTTTCAACTGTCCTTTGAACCCCCACATCCCCCTTCTGATTTGTTCATCTTTTCCCCCACCTCCACACCATTGCCCACTTCCACCACTACCTCTCATCAGGCTGCAGAGACACTTATCTATGCTTTCATCAAATCCAGGCAAGACTCTCCCATCTCTCTATTTGCCAGACTTCCCAACTCCTCCAAAGCTCTGCAGCTCACATCCTCTCCTGCATCAGGCTCCATGAGCTATCACCCCATTCCTTGCACAGCTCCACTGGCTTCCCATCCCCCATAAAGTTCAAGATCCTCATCCTCACTTGTAAATCCCTATAGTCTTGCCCCATCCTATCTCCTTGACCTTCTTAAACCTTACCAACCCAATTCTTATCTTACCTCAACCATCGGCAGTCAGGTTTTTAATTCATCTTTTACCCCCATTCTCCAGAACTCCATCCTGGAGTCCCCTCACCTCAGCCCCTCATTTACATCAAAATGTATCTCAAAAGACCTTCCTCCTTAATTGCACTGTCATCATTCATCATTCACCACTCAACCCCCCCACCTCCTAAATCCAACCCCCAGCTCAGGTCAAAACCCTCAACTGTCCAGCACTTTGGGACATCCTCCCACCATGAAAGATGCCACATAAATTGTATTTTCCAGAAAAGATTTGAGGAATATTATTTTTTACTTTCTCATCCTAGTGGCAGATATTTTTATGCTTTGAGAAGCTTCCAAAGTTCATCATTGGAGAGGTAAGACAGTATATACGTCATATGATTTTGCCTAAAGTGTATTATTTTATTCAATTCCTGTGTACCTATTGAGCAATATGTGCTTCCTCTTCTCCAATTGTGAACACATGGGTCTGGTGGTATTGTTCTCACTACCTAATTGTGAAGCCCCTGAAGAAGTCAAAGAATTAACACATAATCCAGGGCACTCCATGGAAAAGAAATCAGATGTTTAAATTCATGATCATGCCTGATTTGACAGGGAAGTGCAGTCTTTTAAACTCACAAGGTACCACAGGAAAGGATACCATTCAATTTGGGAGTAAAGATTCCAACACTTCTAACATTTGAGTACTATATGAAGGAACACCTGAAGGAACGTGTAGTCATTGCCCATGCGACCATGATAATTACGCTGTATAGAAGACTAATTTGGTGCAATTTTAAAACATTCCCATTTTCAGAAGGAACTCAAGTAAGACTTCACTTGCTGGAAAAAGCCCCCAACAAATATATGGCCTTTACATTGTTTAAAATTGTAGCTGTAGTCAAGCTGCTGTAACAAAATGTGACAAAGTTTGGTACTATTAATACAATCAACTTTAATGACATTTGTTAAATCTAGTAGAATGATTATAGTTTGGGTTTACTTTTTTTGAACAGGAACAGTACATAGTTTTGGAAACAATTTGAAGGCTAAATCCAAACAAATAAAGTTGCTCTAGGTTACCATTGTATTTTGAATCAATTATTGTTCAACACAGGTCAATACCCCAATCTACAAAATTCACTTTTCTGCAGAGGCAATTCCAATCACTCCACAAGCTAAACGTCCTCCAGCATTTCCAGTTGTAAGACTGTCACTGTGTCCACCTTTTCCCAGGTCATCATCCTTCTCATGAACCTTCAGAAGCAAAATTAAAAAAATTAGTATCTGTACCTTAACACACAATCTTGGCTGTTACAACTATTGCTATAATATTTTTTACAAAAAAATCATCCTAGATTCAAAACTGATTCAATAATTCTTAGATTAAAGGGCATCAAATAATAATTTGGGCCAAATATGGTGAGCCAACAACCAAAAGTTTAATTTCAATATAAACTGAGTCTGAAGCGTTAAGGATGGCTGTTGAGAAAAAAAATGGCACTACTTATTCAGTTGAGTTCAACCACAAAATTGGGGAACTGGAAAATAAGCTCTGAAGTGTAATAAGAAAATGGCCAAAACATGTTTTTTTGAATGCTAGTTGTTGTGTTTCAAATTTTCATAATTTTAAAAATTGCAATCAAGGCTCAAAGTACATAGTCAAAACCTTACTTTTATATTTCTTTCAAACATGGGAAAGGTTGTAGCCAAATGTAGTTTCAAAATAGGTTCCAGTAATGTATACAAATGTAAGCAGAGGTCAATGTGCCTATTCCAGTACCACCGTAGGATTGATTCATCATGAACTTTAATCAAATTTCCCTGGTCTAGTTCCTGGAGCTATAGTTCTGAGATCAGTTAACACGCAACATCAGAATGAACTAATGTAGATCTGCACTCATTAGTAACCAAATTGAGCCGATTTCACATGGGGCATTTGCAAAGGAATGGCCAGGTATTTTCAAATGGAATGTTCAAGCTTTAATTTTAATGGGGCACTATCTTTATTCTTTGGATGCAGAGATAAGCTTGTCTCTTTATTCTGTGCATTTATTTCCACTTGTTAGAAGAGAGGAACTACATTGAATACCTAGCCTGATATAATATTTCATGACTACAATACATTAGCAGCTGTCTGACAAGGATTAAATATCACAAATGGGATTTGGATGAAAGGCCCTTGGGACTTTCAACCTAACTTTATTCAGCTTCTCATCACGCCAAAACCACTTAATCATAGGTATTAATCTAGTAAATCATTGATGAATACATTACAAGTGTAGCCTTAGTAAGACTGACTACCCAAAACTGGATACAATATTTCAAATGTCCAACCAATGCACTGAACAGAAGCAACGTTTCCTTCCTTTGAGATTCCAAATCCATCGCCATAAAGCTCAACATTCCATTAGCTTTCTTGGTCGCTTTCTGCCCCTCCAAACTTGTCATTTGGGTCAAGATCAATGTCCAAACTTGTGCTCCTAGGTTAAACTGACAGTCTAGTAATTGAACCCTTTAACAGTTTTAAGGGTTCCATATCTTAGTTCTTTTCCATTTAGAACATATTCCAATCTGCTGTTCTTGCATCCAAAGTGAACATTTTGTAATGTTAAACTCCCATCTCCCATAAACTTGTTCTCTTACTTAATGTTCTAATTTTCTTTTTAACTTCCAATCTTGATCAGCAGCAAACCTGGAAGTAACCCCTTTTCAGGTAGCATGGCAATCTGGGGCCCCAGCACCAATCTGAACGGCATCACTTTCATTGTCCTTCAATTATTTCTTCCTCTGACCCACTCTGCATCCGTGTGAATTTCATGTTACAATGTTGCCTTAGTAAAATAGCTCATCAAATGCTACCTCCTGATTCTGCTTTACTTACTACCATAATGGTTGTCAAAAACACACGTTAGGCTTTGAGACATTATCTACCTTTCACAAAACCTTGCCGAGTCCCTCTGATTTGTCCATTTCTTCAGATAATCTGTCCCAAATGATAGGATTCCAGTAATTTGCTCAGAATTGATGTTAAACTCACTGGTCAATATTACACAGTTTATCCCTTCTTGAATAATAGAAACACGTTTGCTACCTTTCATCTTAATACTTACCACAAGAGTGCGTCCAATAATGGAATTGCTGCCTGACAGTTGGATAATTTTATCCTCAATGGCAATATTGGCCACACCAGCTGCATTAGCTTCAACATTGCCCAGGTCACCTACATGTCTTAAGATTTTAAAATGATTCAATTTAGATTGAGGGATAACATTTATACAAAATACATTACAATAGAAACGTACAGCCCAATTTGAGCCAACATAAAAACTGGTTTGAAGGACTCAACATGACAGCAGAGTAGTGAGACACTATTCAACTACTTGTCCAATACCAATTTATCACATAGAAACATTTAATATTGGCCGAGTCCAATATCCTAGACACTACATTATACGCAAAACAAAAACGTCCGACTTCCAAGTTGTCGCGTCACTGCTCATGGCACTTCCTGTGTATTGTACACAGAAAATAGCACTGTTATTTCCTCGACAAAATGGCATCAGAAACATTTACTATCCACAGTGTTTCGCCCACAAATATATAGTCAATTCACTTTACAGTATATTCTGTGAAGCGCTTTGAGACATCTAGATGACGTGAAAAGCGCTATATCAAATGCAAGGATTATTATTATAGTGCAGTAAAGTGAGCCAAAGGGTCTTCAGTACACGGGAGTGTTCAGTACAGTAATTTGAGTGAATACAGTACACCAGCAAGCACCCAAGTGAACTCATACAGGAAGACAAAAGTGTGCCTCATCTTGGAAAACAAAGCTAACTGTAGCAATACTGAATTGATCATTGAGTTTGGCCTTTTTCAGGAACATAGGAAAACAAGAACAGGACATTTTCTATCCAGCCCTTTCCACCAATTTTAGATGGTGTAATCCCAATGCTCTTCATTCACATTGATGAAAGGGCAAAGAAAACTGTAGTGTGCCACTGGATTAGAAAGTTAGTAGGAGCTTTTCAAAGTTTTCACAAATCACAAGCCTAAGGTAAATTATAATCATATTTTGCTGATGGACAAACACTTGGCCACTACATCAGTGAGATATTTAAGATCTTGCATTACCATCTGTGCACAACATACCTCTCTAGATCTTGTGGTGCACCATGGTTTTTCCCCAGGGGATTAAAATGAGGTCCTGCACTGACGCAGCCTAGAGTTTAAACAAAACACATTTGTGAGGAGAATACACATCGATCATGTCAAATAGCAAGTAATATTAAATAGATGGCTTTATATGTAATTTGCCTTGGTAAACAGATTTTAAATTATATAGCCCAACCAATTTAATTACAACAGTAAATTGAGTGAATACATTTCAAATTTACATTTATTTAACTCCTCACGTTGGGAGGATGGTCCAATGTGCTGGAAAGTCTAGGGTTTGCACATGATCCAGGGGTGGGAAATTGGCCGAAAGCCCAGTCAAAGTGAAAGTTCCTGAGGTGGATCTTGAATGCAGCAAAGAAAGGGGCAAGCAAAAGGTATGGGATTCTATAGAATGGGGCAGATACACTGAATGCCTGACCACTGATGGTGGGGCACACTTGTGCTTGCTGAGCAGAGGGAGCAACCAGGACCAGTATTGAAGGCACCATATAGCAATCCCAATATCTCCCGATTTACAGCATCAAGCAATTGCATCAGCTATTTTCTGGTAATCACTCATTCTTTGTGGTAACTTGTTCCTACTGTGATAACCCTGTGCAAACTATATATTTTACAATTCTGAAGCTGTGCCCTTATTTCCATTCAAGTTACTCAGATTCAATAACATGCAATTGTGCATTCAGTTTAAAAAATTCACCCAAGCAGTAAGCGGAGTCCTGTAGCTCAGTGGTTAGAGCACTTGCTTTGCAAGCGAGAGACCTGAGTTCAATTCCAGGCAGGGCGAAACCTTGGGCAAGTTTCCTTGCTCCACATGCCTAATAATAATCCCTCCAAAACCAAAAACAATAATAAATTGGTCATTTTCAATCTACAACTGTTTGTGGTACATTGCTGTGCGCAATTGGCTGCCGCGTTCGCCCACATACAGTCAATTCACTTTACAGTGTGTTCTGTGAAGCGCTTTGGGACATCCTCCCGACGTGAAAAGCGCTATATCAAATGCAAGGATTATTATTATTATAAGCAATGAATTGCCCAAGTGGTAAGTACACAATCCATACCGTTAGTATTGTCTCCAAAGACATGAACATGGAACCCATGTTTTCCAGGTGTCAGTCCATTAATAGTTCCTTTTACTGTGACCGGTCCACTTCCCTAGAAGAAAATTTTCCATCAGAGAGGTCTACAAACTCTTCAGGTGAAGCAACAGGACATGGAATTAAATTCTGGAATAGGTGCAAGAGATGTGGAAGGGGCAGACCATAAGGGGACTGAGAAACAGCCTGAAGCAAAGGAAAAGCTCTGAGACACTGAAGAACATTATATAAATGCATGTTGTTTAAAAAAAACTATTCACGTCTCCTAGCCTGACAAGGTCCACGTGAATATATCTAACATGCAGTTCTTCAATTATACTTTGAAAATTATATTTAATTATACTTTGCCAAGAAAAGTGGTGAGGAAAGAGGGGAAGAAAGTTTTCATGGTCATCTGGCTGGGCGCCAGTTTTTCAGTGAAGTATTACAGTGATCGTTATCGACTGCACTATCATTTTGTGTATTGATTTGGAGGCTGGATTCACATCAAACCATGTTCAAATTTGCAGATTTCCAAACAGGTATGACAAACAATAAAAATCCATTATGTACATAAGTAGTAAAAAAATGCCAAATTAATTCCAAAATTTAACCACAGTGATAGGCACAAAGATGGTTACTTGGGACTTGATCACAGAAGACTGAATGAGAACTCAATAGAAGCATTTAAGATTGTGATTTGGCAAATATGGATGCAGGTGGTTTTGTTCTACTGTGTATAAAATTCAACATTAATAGATAAATTAAGGAACCTTGTGAGAAATTACACTCTAGAATGCCAATGGTCTACTCGTGCCTAAAATGGTTACTGATCATAATCTTATCTGTGGAGGGTGCTGTATAAGTGCAAGTTGTTGTCGATGTTATTATCTAGTACCGAATGTAATTCAGCACAGATGTCTCCAACCACAGTTAGAAATTTGTACTTGAAATATACAACTCCAGGAGTGGCTCAAAGGGGCCCTTCTAGGCTATAATTTCAATTATGTCACATTCCCAGTATTTTTTATTTCTTACCTTTATAAGACTGCAAATCCTAATAGTACTTACTAAATTTGGTTTGGAACAACTTCATATTCTATGGACTATAAATGTTCTGTTCTCTTATGAAATCAATTGTTCAGTGCCACCAAGTGGCCTTACCACTAACTCACTGTCCCAGCAAAACATCCTCCATCTCCTTTCCTTTCTGACCTGCCAATTTTGAAATACATTTACATTGTAGTCAGTAAGCTACACAAATGCACTTTATAAAACAACTTTTTCATAATTGACAGGGATATCCAGCAATTATTACTTCCTACATACTGCTATATGTATTTTATTGCTTCCTACATATAGCGCAAAGACAGCATTTACTCTATAATTGCTCAGATTACTGAGCTCAGTCTAGGTGCGGTATTGGGCAAGTGCTCCATTGTCATGTGTTTGGACAACATTAAAACAGAGGATCAATCTCCCCTTTAGGTGGATGTTACATGGCACTACTCAGAAAGTATCTGGGATAATAATCCTTAAAAAAAATTCACTCAATCCACAACTGTTTGTGGGACACTGCTGTGCGCAATCGGCTGCCGCGTTTCACCCACAAATGTTCAGTCAATTCACTTTACAGTATATTCCTTGAAGCGCTTTGAGGTGCCTCGAAGATGTGATATATGAAATGCAAGGGTTACTATTTACTTTTATCCTGGAAAACGCTCCTGCAGATAAACTGGCCATTCACTTCAGTGGTTTGTGAGATTTACTGCGCACAAATTGGATGCATATTTGCTTACAAATAATCGCCATCCTTGGAAAGCCATTACCTGTGTTGCGTTTTGAGACGATAATCTCAAGAATGAGAGGAACTCAAAGCAAATATACTAATACAGTCAGCCAGGCGAGATGTGGAGAGCCTTTTTAAGCATTATCACCTGCTTGATGGCGACTTTAAATTCACATAACCTGTAGTTAGTTGATTTTAGGCGCGTGCCTTCCAATAACTGATCAATGTTATCTGCTGGACATCTGGAGCAATGACAAAGCAAAAAAAAAATATTGGGTAGAGAGAGGACGCCCGCGGGGTGAGTTTGTTTTTAAACGGTAATGTTTAATACTGTTAATAGAGAGAGAGAGAGAGAGAGATGGAGAGGGGTGTCGCCGCCCCTGTCCGTGTGACCGAGGCTCTCTCCCCGCTCTCTGCAGTCGCGCTGCTATCGCAGCTCCGGTCGGATCCCCTGTGCCCCGTCCTCTGCGGCTCAGGGAGGGAAAGAGAAATGGGGGCAGAGGGGGTGGGGGTGGGGGGGGGGCAGAGGGGGTGGGGGGGGGGCAGAGGGGGTGGGGGGGGGCAGAGGGGGTGGGGGGGGGGGCAGAGGGGGTGGGGGGGGGCAGAGGGGGTGGGGGGGGCAGAGGGGGTGGGGGGGGGCAGAGGGGGTGGGGGGGGGGGCAGAGGGGGTGGGGGTGGGGGGGGGGCAGAGGGGGTGGGGGGGGGGGGGGGCAGAGGCCACATCAGACCGCGGAGGCGCGGCGAGTGGGGCGGCCCGAGAGGAACGGTAGGGAAACGCTGGCGGGATCCGGAGGGCCGAAGTCCGCCCCGAATGGACTTGACACAGAAAAACAATCGCCGCCGCCGCCCGCGAAGCGAAGCGCTGCCCAACACGCAGGGAGGGCGCCGTCAGCTCCTGCTCCCCTGCGACTCACGGTCTGCTCGAAGTTAACACTGCCGGTCACGTCTCCGCTGCCCTTCATCACGCACACGGCTCTCAGAAGCGCCATGACACCGCTCTCGCCGTCCGCAAAGCCGCGCGTGCGCAGAGCAGCGCCCGGCTTTATAGACAGGACACGCCCCCCCACCCCGCGCGCAAGCGCAGCTCGGCCTCGCGTCTGCCTGTCGCCAGGCTGTGTGTGGGCTCAGCTGCTCCAGCGGGAGGGCGTCACCGCACAGCACAGCGCACAGCGCAGCGCAGCGCACCAACCAACCAGATTACAGCTGCGAAGCGCCTTTCACGTCAGGAGGACGTCCCAAGGCGCTGGACAATCAGGGATTTGGCCCCGAGTTAGGGGTCCTGATCAGGGGGGGAGCGGGGAGGGGGGAGGAGGAGGAGGGGGGTGGCCAAAAGCTCAGTTGAAGAGGAGAGTTTTAAGACGCGCCTTGAAGGAGGTAAGGCAGGGAGCGTGGCGAAGGGTGCCGGGCGAAGGGTCCCGGGCGAAGGGAGCCGGGCGAAGGGTGCCGGGCGAAGGGTGCCGGGCGAAGGGAGCCGGGCGAAGGGAGCCGGGCGAAGGGAGCCGGGCGAAGGGTGCCGGGCGAAGGGTGCCGGGCGAAGGGTGCCGGGCGAAGGGAGCCGGGCGAAGGGAGCCGGGCGAAGGGAGCCGGGCGAAGGGAGCCGGGCGAAGGGTGCCGGGCGAAGGGTGCCGGGCGAAGGGAGCCGGGCGAAGGGTGCCGGGCGAAGGGAGCCGGGCGAAGGGTGCCGGGCGAAGGGTGCCGGGCGAAGGGAGCCGGGCGAAGGGTGCCGGGCGAAGGGAGCCGGGCGAAGGGAGCCGGGCGAAGGGTGCCGGGCGAAGGGAGCGTGGCGAAGGGTGCCGGGCGAAGGGTGCCGGGCGAAGGGAGCGTGGCGAAGGGTGCCGGGCGAAGGGTGCCGGGCGAAGGGTGCCGGGCGAAGGGTGCCGGGCGAAGGGAGCCGGGCGAAGGGAGCGTGGCGAAGGGAGCGTGGCGAAGGGTGCCGGGCGAAGGGAGCGTGGCGAAGGGTGCCGGGCGAAGGGTGCCGGGCGAAGGGTGCCGGGCGAAGGGAGCCGGGCGAAGGGTGCCGGGCGAAGGGAGCGTGGCGAAGGGAGCGTGGCGAAGGGTGCCGGGCGAAGGGAGCGTGGCGAAGGGTGCCGGGCGAAGGGTGCCGGGCGAAGGGAGCCGGGCGAAGGGTGCCGGGCGAAGGGAGCCGGGCGAAGGGTGCCGGGCGAAGGGAGCGTGGCGAAGGGTCCCGGGCGAAGGGTCCCGGGCGAAGGGTCCCGGGCGAAGGGAGCGTGGCGAAGGGAGCCGGGCGAAGGGAGCCGGGCGAAGGGAGCGTGGCGAAGGGAGCGTGGCGAAGGGTGCCGGGCGAAGGGAGCGTGGCGAAGGGTGCCGGGCGAAGGGAGCCGGGCGAAGGGAGCCGGGCGAAGGGTGCCGGGCGAAGGGAGCGTGGCGAAGGGTGCCGGGCGAAGGGAGCGTGGCGAAGGGAGCCGGGCGAAGGGTCCCGGGCGAAGGGTCCCGGGCGAAGGGTCCCGGGCGAAGGGAGCCGGGCGAAGGGAGCCGGGCGAAGGGTGCCGGGCGAAGGGAGCGTGGCGAAGGGAGCCGGGCGAAGGGAGCGGGGCGAAGGGAGCCGGGCGAAGGGTCCTGGGCGAAGGGAGCCGGGCGAAGGGAGCGTGGCGAAGGGAGCGTGGCGAAGGGTGCCGGGCGAAGGGAGCCGGGCGAAGGGTGCCGGGCGAAGGGAGCCGGGCGAAGGGTGCCGGGCGAAGGGTGCCGGGCGAAGGGAGCCGGGCGAAGGGTGCCGGGCGAAGGGAGCCGGGCGAAGGGTGCCGGGCGAAGGGAGCGTGGCGAAGGGAGCCGGGCGAAGGGAGCGGGGTGAAGGGAGCCGGGCGAAGGGTGCCGGGCGAAGGGAGCGTGGCGAAGGGAGCGTGGCAAAGGGTGCCGGGCGAAGGGAGCGTGGCGAAGGGAGCCGGGCGAAGGGTGCCGGGCGAAGGGAGCGTGGCGAAGGGAGCGTGGCGAAGGGTCCCGGGCGAAGGGAGCGTGGCGAAGGGAGCCGGGCGAAGGGTGCCGGGTGAAGGGTGCCGGGCGAAGGGAGCGTGGCGAAGGGAGCGTGGCGAAGGGTGCCGGGCGAAGGGAGCGTGGCGAAGGGAGCGGGGCGAAGGGAGCGGGGCGAAGGGTGCCGGGCGAAGGGTGCCGGGCGAAGGGTGCCGGGCGAAGGGTGCCGGGCGAAGGGAGCCGGGCGAAGGGTGCCGGGCGAAGGGTGCCGGGCGAAGGGAGCGGGGCGAAGGGTGCGGGGCGAAGGGAGTGTGGGATGGCGTTCCATAGGGTGGGGGCTGAAGGCACGACCACCGATGCTGAGCGGAGAGAGTGGACAGGTGATGTGGGGTCAGCAGGTCACAGAGGGTAAGGCCATGGAGGGTCTTGAAGGCAACGACGAGCAATTTGAACTCTGTCCTCTGGTGGTTGGGGAGCCAGTGGGACTTATGGGGTCACGGAGCCTGGTGTGGGGAGAGGACACGGGCTGCAGAGTTCTGGATGATCTGCAGCTTGTGGAGGGAAGAGTTGGGAAGGCCAACAAGCAGGGAGTTGGTGTAGTTGAGCCTAGATGTGTAACAAGTGGAGAAAAGATGGGGAATATTTTTAATACGTTGCCTTGCTCATTCCACAGGCAACTATTAGAGCACCAATATTACTGTGTATATTGCTACCCAATTCTAAATGGTCACAGTTGTATACATTTGTATGCTCATACACCCATCCTTCATTTGTATGCAGAGCAGCTGCTGTTGAAATGCTGCGCAGGTAAGCAGCTGCTGTTGATGGGCTGTACTTTCAACTGGTTTAACCCATTGCTTGATGGGTAGGGATGTGTGGCTGAAATGTGAGCAGGTTAGGATAGTGGTTGGCTGCTGGAAGGTGTTACCTGCAGTCTGAGGCTGTGAATGTGTTTGTACAACCAGTGACTGGAATCCATCCTGATTTACTCACAGAGGTAAGCTGCTGCTGCTTAAGATCTGCACCTCCAATTGCTGGAACCATCGGTCAATAGGAAGCGATTTGTGTCTGAGCTGTGGACAGGAAGATGGTGGCAATGCTCTCATGCATTTTACGTTGAGCTGATTTGCCCACCAGGAAGGTTATAGGGAGTTACAAGTGGCACCTTTCACATTGGGAGGATGTTCCAGGGCGCTGGATAGTGAGGGATTTGGACCCGAGCTGGGGGTTGGTATCAGGAAGGGTGGAGAGCAGTGAGGGTGACCAAAGGTGCGGTCAAAGAGGTCTTGAAACACACTTGGCTCCTATTAACCCTGCAAGCCAAAGCGCTAATGGGTAGGGTGGTCGTAGCAGGAAAGCAGCAAAATAACTTGCCAGACAGTGCTTTCAATGGCAAGCTATGTGGTTTTAGTTGGTTATACTTGAGCAGTACCCCAACGCAAACTCTGGAGTCCCCAAGCCTTGGTTCTTGCCAATCTGCACCTAATACTTTCTGGATTTAGGCAAGCAGGATGCGTTCCTCCAGAGAGAGAATGTGCTTTCCAATAAACATCTCTGGAATTTCCATATATAGGTAGGATGCATGGAACTCTTCAATTTGGTTTGGATACTCTTTCAGTATAGTGATGGATTCCCCACATGTGTCCTTAAAGATATGGTCTTTAATTACTCCTTGGTATATTTCATGTTCTAGGACAATGGTAAGGTATCATCTTCTTTACCAACTGGTTTATTGCTACATATTTAAGCATAAAGTATCTTAAACATAAAGAAAAAACTTCCATTTTATTAGCACCTTTTCACATTGAAAGGTCTCATCTATAATTGTTCAAATCTAGTGAGTGCATTTGTAGGCAAATGCAACAGTTATTTATTTGCACCAACAAGGTCCCACAAACAGACATATGGTGAATGACAATAAAATCAGGAGAATCTCCCTTCTCTTTTGAAACAGTGTCATTGTAACTTTAATATCCAACTGATTAGTTACATGGGATTCAAATGTAAGTTCTCCTCCAAAAAACAGCACATTTGACAATGACATGCACTGTACTGCAATGTTAGCCCGACTTTGAGCTCAAGTCTTGAACCCTGCTGACCCAGAGGTAAGAATGTTGCAAATTGATCCATGCTAAAATGTAGATTAGGCATAATTACTTATGTTTATATAGTATCTTTTGCATAAAAGGAATTACAGAATACGATTAACTACAATTTAAGTGAATTCCAAATCTGAAACCCCTCCCCCCTATTCCACCCACCCCACTTGTGCTTCTATTCGCATTGCCCTCCAAATTGTCGATTCCCTCCCTAACAAAGCTCTCATTATTCACTATCCATGACCTCATCCTGGATGAGCACATCAATATTCTTGGTCTTGCAGAAACTTGGCTGTTCACTGATGACACACTGCCCCTCATTGAGCTTCCCAGCCTGGCTACACTTTCTACCATGCCCCCCCCCATCCCAACTGACGTGCGGCAGGGTGGCCCTCATCTCATAAACCTCTCTCGGTCTAGCTCCCTATTCTTCTAACTCCTCCCCGCCCATTTGAGCACCTCGCCCTGTACTATCCCTCCTTTCTCTGGTTCAAAATCCTCCTAGCTTACACCCAACCTAAACCACCTGGCTATTTCCTTTCAGACATCTCTCTCCTCTCATCCCTCTGCACTGAATGCCTGCTAACAATGGGTAATTTCAACCTTCCCCATAACTACTTAACAACAAGATTCCATTTATAAAGCGCCTTTCACGTCGGGAGGACGTCCCAAGGTGCTGGACAGTTGGGTCAGGACTCGAGCAGGGGGGAAATGGTCAGGGTGAGGGGAGGGAAGGGAGGGAGCGAGGAGGGGGGAAATGGTCAGGGTGAGTAGAGGGAAGGGAGGGGGCGAGGAGGGGGTAGAGAGTTGAGAGGGGAGCTGAAGGCATGGTCAAAGAGAAAGGTCTTGAGACTGGCCTTGAAGGAGGAAAGGGAGGAAGCAAGGCAATGGCACTGGGGGATAGAGTTCCAGAGCCTCGGGGCTGAGAGGCTGAAGGCCCGGCCACCGATGGTAGGGTGGTTGGGGCGGGGGATGTGGAGCAGACCGGAGCCAGAGGAACGGAGGGTACAGGCAGGTAAGTAGGG